TAAGTAGTGCTTTCAATAAGTCATTACTTAGGAAGTTTGACTACATTATGAAACTAATAGTACTTTAAATAGTTAAACCTCAATGTTGGTTTGCTAGCTTGTTAATTCTGGAGAGCATAAACTGGCTTTTTCATCTTTGTGTCCATGTAGTGCCTTACTATATAGTAGACACTCCATAACACTGTTTAATTTATTTTTTTGGATCAGGGCCACATAAAATAGATTGGATTTAAAAATTACTATTATGCAAAAACTTTTTTCTGTAGGGAATGGGTTGAATGATACATATTATCTCTTTTATTTTTTTTAAGAAGATGTTGGGGGTAGGAGTTTATTAATTAATTTATTTATTTTTGCTGTGTTGGGTCTTCATTTCTGTGCGAGGGCTTTCTCTAGTTGTGGCAAGCAGGGGCCACTCTTCATCGCGGTGTGCGGGCCTCCCACTATCGCGGCCTCTCTTGTTGCAGAGCACAGGCTCCAGATGTGCAGGCTCAGCAGTTGTGGTTCACGGGCCCAGTTGCTCTGCGGCATGTGGGATCCTCCCAGACCAGGGCTCGAGCCCGTGTCCCCTGCATTAGCAGGCAGATTCTCAACCACTGCGCCACCAGGGAAGCCCCATATTATCTCTTAAAAGCTTTAAGACTTTGGTAAACTCAAGTGTTCCAAACTTGAGTAGTTACTATGAGAATAATATGCTACCAGTTATGGAGAATGTTTTCATAAGGTTCATTCATTCATTCAAGGACTAAGTGAGCTCATACTAGAACACAGACAAGAACTGGTACTATATGTCCATCATATCCAGCCACATAAGAGTCTGCACTTGGGGAAACCCCCTTTACAATACAGAACTGAAAGCTGTCCCTGAAATCTACAATTGGCAGCAAATGTAAATCAATACTGAAATAATGACCAATGTTAGAAAACATTTATTCCAAAAATTCATCCTAATTACTGTAAGTACTCAATATACGACAAGCCTGGGGACACACGATTAATAAAAGATTTTCTATGAAAACAAATGTAGTTGTGACAGCTGGATATCAGGGTGCGGGGGTGCAGAGAACAGACTTAGATCCACATCTTACCGTGTGTACTACAATTGCCAGATACATCAGAGTTAAGCAAGAAGTAAGGATGGGATGAATAGGTGGAGCACAGATTTTTTAAGACGGTGAAAACTATTCTGTATGATTCTATAATGGTGGGTGTATGTCAATATATGTTTGTCAAAACCCATAGACGGTACAACACCAGGAATGAACCCTAATGTAAACTATGGACTCTGGGTGATAATGATGTGTCAGTGAAGGTTCATTGATTGTAACAAATGCACCACAATGGTGCTGGATGTTAGTGGAAGGTTGTGCATGAGTGCGGATAAGGGGGTATGTGGGAACTTTCTGTACTTTCCGCTCAATTTTGCTGTGAACCTAATATTATTCTAAAATATCAAGCTTATTTATTTAAAAAACAAAATAAAAAAACAGAAAACAGACATTTGTTTCAAATGGAGAAATATGTTATTGAAGAAATGTACATATTTCTGGAGATGCAGAAAATTTTTTGACTAAAAGTATTTGTCTAAAAATGTACAAGCATTAAAGAGGCATGGAGCAAATACATGTGATAACCAACAAAAGCTTACTGCCCAAAATAAAGTTTTAAAGGAAAAAAAAAAATCTGGGACTTTCCTGAAGGTCCAGTGGTTAAGACTCCATGCTTCCAATGCAGGGGGCACATGTTCAATCCCTGGTCAAGGAACTAAGATCCCACCTGCTGCAGAGCGTGGACAAAAGAAAAAAAAAAAAAACTAAGGTTAATATCTTAAACAATTTATGGCCAACCACATATTTATGTAAGTAATGTAAATGAATTATTTATCCATTAGAATACATTTTCTCTGCTTATTACTTTCTAGCTGATTTCCTTGTATGTAAACTCTTTCCTTTGACCATTTATGAAGTAAAATCTAAGTGTTTAGGAAATAATCCAATGTGGAGAAAAAAGTAATCTTTATAAAATCCTTTACCATGAAACTTTGAAAATAGCCAAAATGCTGCTTATTAAACATAATATTAATACAATGAAATCCCATATAATTGTTAAAATAGAGGAAATGTGTGCCATATGGACATGGAAATGTGTTTTGAGACATCATTAAGGGTCAAATAAAATTTTATTTTGTTGGACTTTTGGAGAGAAAAATGATTAAGTGATGGCTTAGTTGTGAACAAAAGGAAGTGCAGTTCCTTTCACTAGAGATAAAAGAAATTCTTTAAGGACATAATAATGCATCCTATTCATTCATTTGTTCAGTCATCAACTCAACTGGACTACTGCAATACTCTCCTGAATGACTAGTCTCCCCCCATTCTTGCTCCTATTAAGACCATCTTCCTCAAAGCAGCCATAGTAACCCATCAAAAACACAAACTTATGTCACTTGCCTATTTCAAGCTCCTCGTTTGATTTTTCCATTGGATTATTTGATTCTCATTTGCTGCCTACAAAATAAAGTCAAAATTCCTTTTATGCAGCATATAAAACCCATTACAACTGGCTCTTACCTCTCTTATAGCTTAGTCTTCTTTCAAAGAAGACTACTAGAGACGTGTTCTAGTAATTATGTTACTTCTTTATGTTCTAGTAATTCTCAACTGCTTCATGTTCCTTCAAGTTCATGCCATACTGTTTCATGATTCCATAACATTGCTCATGCCTTTCCCTTTTCCTGGCACATGCTCCCCACCTTTCTTTATCTATCTTATGCATATTCATCCTTCAAGACAGCTCAGATATCATCCTCCAAGCTGAGTTAGAGACCCCTTCTAGGGTTTCTATAGCATCCTATGCATACTTCTGTCTTAGCAGATACCAAATCAAATTGAAATTATCTGTTTATAAGTCTGTCTTCTTCCCCATTAAGCCTTAAGTTTCTTTAGGGCAGAGGCCATGTTTAGTCAACTTGTGTACCCAAACAGCATCTAATTTAGTGCCTGGAATATAGCAGGCGCTTAATAAATACAATGAATATTTCATAAATAATCCTCCAGGCTCTGCAATAGAAACTAGTGAACTTCAAATATTCTATTTCTGCCATCCAGGAGCTCACAGCAAAAGAGGACATGAAAAATGACAGGCATGGAAGCACTGGGAATAGTCAAATGAGTCACACTAGGTCAGAGTCTGCTGTATTTTTAGCCAAATTTACCTAGAAATTGCTACCACCAACCATGCTCACCCTTGAGAATGAAGGACTATGGAATTTTCCTCTGTTAAAGGAAAAGTAAATTGTTTAAAGACAAGGAGGTGGAAGGAAGAGACAAGAGGTCATAGTGATCTACAAACTAAATAATCCATACCCTTTTGAGAGTTTTCATGTGCACTCTTCAATCTAATAGAAAAATCTTTTCAATCTTCAATCTAATTGAAAAATCTTTTCAGGCTTGTGTTCTATAAAATCTGAAATGTGAGATTTATTTTGTAAATAATGGGAATGGTGGCAGAATCACTTCCTTTCTACTACTATTCTCAACACTCTTTTATAATGTAAGCACATTAACAAATTTATTTTATGCTATTCGCCAGGCATAATGTTAAGATATGAGATAAGATTATCTCATTCAACCTTCATAACAAGCCTATGAGGTAAGTATTATTATTAACTCCATTTTATAGGGGCGGAAATCGAAGCTTGAAGAGGTCCAGTAAGTTGCCCAAGATCACGTCTCTAGTAGGCATTAGAAGCAGTATTTGAACCCAGGCGGTATGATTCCAGGGCTCACAGTTTTGATGGGTACACCACACCACATGACGCATAAATGGTAAAATACAATAAACACTCATTACAATTGTTCCATTAGAAATTGTTCTTGACTTCAGGTAAATAGCAATTTATAAGACTGAATGAATCAAGTTGTCAGTTTTGTTGTTGTTATTGTTGTTGTTTTTAATTAATGATACTCTGGGACCTGTGGAAGTGTTACTAGTTATTATCATAAGCCTTCTAATAGTAGAGTTTTTTAAACTTTATAAATGTTAGGGAAACTAATTATCCACATTACTGTCTCTTCTTTGCAATTAAATAAAGTTTTTTTATTATGATATTTAAATATAAACATTTTATATGCGGCAGTTTAACTAGTACATGATTTTTCCAGCCAAAAAAAACCCTTCATTTGGAAAGAAATCCTCAAAAGTGCTATCTAAAGACTAAAAGTGGGTTGTTGTTTTTTTAACTTTAACTTTTCTCCTTTTAGACTCCAGAAACAGTTTCCTGACTTCCTTTCTGGAAATGATTTTTGTTTCCAACCATATTGAGAATCCTTTTTTTTTTTTTTTTTTTCCTTTTTCTCT